AAGCCACCCTCAAAGTCTATTAAGACTAGTGTAGTTATGAAGGCTTATTGACGCCATCTCGTGTTTGGTCGACAAAGTAGGCTCTCACTCGCTAAAAATTTATTGGCTCAAGGAGAAAAAATTCTCTATGAAATCAATAAAGGCAGACGACCTACGGGTTAAATCACAAGTAATTAAGTACTATCTTTGTTCTTGTAGTTTAGATTTGTAATTTTAATTTTGAGACACTTAAAAAATTAATTATTTAAATATATTAAATTGATAAGAAGTATATCCTTAACATTATTTAACAGAAAGATTAGTTTTAATTCAAACAAAAACTGTGATGATAATATTCTAATTGTAAAGATTAAAAAAATAGATAAATAAATGCATACATTTAAGATGCACCAAGGTTTTGGTCATTGATCAATACATGTTTTCATTGCCCCTAGTCAAGATTAACCCATTGTATATATCTTGTGTTTGCTTTCTTCTTGTTTTGATTATTCAAAGTTATGGGACCACGGAATTTCCTCTCAAAACAAATTTTTTTATTGCATAAAATCAAAGTTAGGCGGAACATGTTTTTCTTCTAATGTATTTATGCTTTTTTTTTATTAGTTTTTCTTTTATTTAATAGTTATTAAATAAAATATTTTTAAATCAATTTATACACATTCAAAAGACTAATTCCTTTTTGATCTTGTCAAACAATTTATGACAGAACAAAGGCACCCAAACCCACTATAAAAACTAACACAATGTATGGAATGGATCTCAACCCCAAATGGCTGCAAATTCTCCAACCATTACTCTACTCCTATCCCTCTTCCTAGCCCTCATTGGAACCTCCCATGGTGGTGGCATAGCCATCTACTGGGGCCAAAACGGAAACGAAGGAACCCTGGACGAAACCTGCGCCACTGGTAGATATTCCTACGTTAACATAGCCTTCCTTATCAAATTTGGCAATGGCCAAACCCCTGAACTCAACTTGGCTGGCCATTGCGACCCGGCATCCAATGGCTGCGCCACAGTAAGCAATGGCATCAGAAGTTGCCAAAGTCGAGGAATCAAAGTGATGCTTTCGATCGGAGGTGGTGCCGGCACCTACTCTCTATCTTCCTCGGCGGACGCAAAGAACGTGGCAGATTACCTCTGGAACAACTACTTGGGCGGACAATCGTCGTCTCGTCCTTTAGGTGATGCCGTTTTGGATGGTATAGATTTCGATATCGAGTTGGGATCAACTGGGTACTATGACGACCTGGCTCGCTACCTCTCCGCCTATAGCAGCCAAGGAAGAAAGGTATATTTAACAGCAGCCCCTCAATGTCCATTTCCGGACAATTTCTTGGGAACTGCCCTTAACACTGGACTCTTCGACTACGTTTGGGTCCAATTCTACAACAATCAACCATGCCAGTATAGTTCGGGTAACATCAACAACATTGTTAGTTCATGGAACCAGTGGACATCATCAATAAATGCAGGGAAGATATTTTTAGGGTTGCCGGCGTCACCAGAAGCGGCTGGAAGTGGGTATATTCCCCCGAATGTGCTGACTACACAGATAATTCCGGTGATAAATAAGTCAGCTAAGTACGGTGGGGTTATGCTATGGTCCAAGTACTACGATGATAAGAATGGATATAGTGCTTCCATTGTGAACAGTGTATGAGGAAGTGGGACGCTAGATAATTTGGTTGAGTGTACCTTTCCAATAATAATGAAATAAATTGATGGCATCCTATTGGTCTAAGTCACTATGTCCAAATTGCCATTTACCTATGCTATATTTTTACTTATACTCATAATTTTCTAGGTATAGCTATTTATATCTACGATTTACTTAATTATTTGTATATGATTTAAATTTACCTACATATTTTAAAGAATTATAGAAATAATATGAATTTACCTATAAAAATGACTTAATGTAGGTATAAAAAGAAAACTTATACTTACAATCAAGATCATTTATAGGTATAGAAGCCATCTATAGCTACAAATTTCCAAAAATCATAACAATAGTACATTACCATTTGTTAACCCTTTGGAAGAAAAAAAAAAAAAAAGAATCTTACGTTCATGAAAGAAGCAAAATAAAAAAAAAAATCTCACGTCA